TATGTATTTGGATAAGAATAATACATTTGTGGAAGTTTAAGATCTGGCTGATGTCTTGCTTTGAATCTGTAGATATCTACACACAAATGGTAAGTATAAACTCAGGATAGTGTGTTTAACTTTGTACCACGCAGAAACTGTGTCCATTTCTGGTCACTTAGGGATTTATTAAACATACGATTTAATCAGAATTGCCTATACTTTTACATGCAACTCTGGGTATCTGCATTTGGGGAGAGCTGCTCTTAATCCATTGCATCTATTTACCATATGTCATATGTTAAAACTTTGAAAGGAGTAAACAGAAAATTTGGGTTAAGGGGTGTTCATTAAAATTCTTCCCCAGGGGGAAAAAGATTGTTTTGTATCCAATATATTCTCCTTTAGTATTCATTGATTGGGTCAAATTGTTGTAAGTTTATTCTGTATTATTGGAACATCTCACCAATATCCAACTCACTGTTTGCTGGCTGTATGTATCTTTTAATTCTTGTTCCTTGGAAGAAGTTCAGTTCTGGAACAGAAATGGTTTTCCCTGATTGAGCTGATATCAGTTCATCATCATCATCATCATCATCATTACCACCACCACCATCATCTGACTGATGATGTCAGTCATCAGAGGGCTACTGATGTCCAAGCATCCTGAATATTCTGGCCATTGAATGACTTTGAACCAAAAAGCCTAATGGTCTGATGAGTAAGGTTCAGATATTACAAGGGACAAAGTGGATCTCCTGTCATAGATACAGAAAACTGGTGACTGGGTTTGACTTGAAAACAGCCTCCGCCACTGAATCTGATGTCAGCAGGCAAGCTTAGAGCAGATTTTATCACCTGGCTACCCTCCATATGGGTGGAATTGAAGTCTGCACATCTGGATGTTGTTTAAGTTGGGGAAAAGCTGGGTTTGTCTTTCCAAGCTTGGACAGTCCCTTGTCTTGCATCTATTTGTTGCCTCTTCAAGCAAATTGATGCCACAACGACACAGCTACCACACATGTGTCTTGCAAGTCAAGCCACATATGCAGTTTTTTTTAAGATAAAAGGATTTGTTTTCTCTGCTCAATGATCACTGAAAGCACTCTTTTTTTATTTAACAGTATGTTATCTTGCTCAGGGCCCATAGGGAAAAGATCTAAATAAATGAAATCTCTAGGATTGGAGTCAATATAATTATTCTGAAAAAGATAAAAAGCTGCCTCACCCAGAGCCAGACTTGCTCAGTGGTAGTACTCATGCTTTGTAAGGAAGGGCTCCAAGTTTAGCCACTGAATATGCTTTAGAGAAATCATATAGCACAAATTTTGAATATTCTGTGCCCAAACATTAGGAAGTTCCTATTGGGCAGAATAAACAGTATCAGCCAGTACTGTAGCCTGACATGAGGTAAAATAATTTGCTATACACTAGCAAATAGTGTACACTATTTCTACTTTTCTACTTTAGAGCTAGGTTCAGCATCCCAAGGTTTTTTTCCCTTTATAATCTCCTTCTTTCCTTTACTTCTTACAAGCATCATTGCAATCCTTTACTGTATTCAATTCAACATTTCCCTCAACAGTTCAATATTGCCTTCTTCAGTTAAAGAATAAAATATTTTCAAATTCTTTGATTTGTTTTTCCCAGAAAACATTTGGTCTCACTTTGTTTTTGATATATAAAAAGACCTGAAGTGCATATATAGTCTCATCAGGTTACGTTAAATGGGCATTTTCTGATATATTTTTTCTTGGTAAATATGTAGGTCATATTTCAGCGAGCCTTCTTTTTCTTCTCACAATAAATATTAATTACTCAAACTTGTGTTGTTTATCAAAGGTTCCTATTTTATTTATTTGTATGAAATAGTTTGAAAAGATTCTCTTCTTTTAAGTAACTAAAGAGTCTTGTCAGAAGATTCAGAGGAGATGATGTAACTTCCCCTGACACCCCATACTTCAAATAGAATAACTTCTGATTTGGAAGAAAGCCAGATTTGTAAATTGAAATGTTCTCTCTATAATAAATTTACACTAAGAGAACGGGAGTCAAGAGTAGGAGATTTCAGTAAAAGTACCATATCTGACACATTCTACTTGGCAAATAATCACAAAACATTTTATTCTTAAAGGCAACTTCTACTGTAACTGAATATTTAAAAATATTGGACAGAGAAAAACAAGCAAAAAAAAACCCAACACCTGTCCAAACAAATTTAATGTTCTAGGAATGCCTTAGAACAGGGGTCTTCAACCTTGGCCACTTTATGACTTATGGACTCCAATTCCCAGAATTCCTCAGCCAGAATGGGAGTTGAAGTCCACAAGTCATAAAGTGACCAAGGTTGCCTTAGAATAGTTTAAGTGGGTATCTAAAATGATAGGCTGACATCTTAGTGATGACATACAGAAATTGTCATGTAGAGACAGATATTTCTGAGTGTTGTCTCTCAGATGGCAGAAGGACAAAACTCTATCTTCTTTGTCTCGTTTTTCTCACTATTTTCTGCCTGTTGTTTTTCTCTCTTGCCTTTATACAAGGAGTACCATCTATGAAAACCACAATCTGAAAAGTCTTCAGAGAGAGGACCATTATAAATAAGGTCTTCCTGCACAATTACCCAAGAGCAATATCCCTCACTGGTGGTGTCCCCCTCTATTTCATACACAATACTTGGTTCTAGGTACACATTGTGGCTGCTATCCACTTCAGAGAGGCACACTATTGGTTTCACTGCAGTAAAGAAGGCATTAGTGTGGGGTATGGATTATAGCTTTGAAGGCCCTCAGAGAAAAGCCTTTAATCTGCCATCTGCTCTGGGGAGTCCTAACTGTCAATCACAGAAGGAAAGCAACCAATCAAATTTTCAGTGATGGCTGTCAATGCCTCACTAAGGAGCCTCAAGTGATTTAATGTTTAGATGGGTGGCAAAAATCGTCACCAAAGCTAACCATGGAAACATTTTGGTTGTAGAAATTGAGGTATAGATGTAAGTTGCTCATCTGATCCCCAGGACAGTTTGGCCTTGTGAAGATAATCCATAGCCTGGATTCAGTTTTTTTTTTAAATCCTTCAGAAGCCAATACTGTTATATTCATGCACAGTAAATTAAATCCTCTACTATTATCTAGGACTACATAAGAAACCTGGGGCCAAATTATTTGAAGAGCTGTCAGGGAACTGTATCTAATTTGTTCCAAGAAACCTATTTGGAGCCCTAAAATACCACAAAACCTGTCTGTTTGAGGCCTGAGCTGCAAAACACAGAGAGACAGAAAGAGAAATACCCAGTTTCCTGGGATACATTACTGTTGGGATGTTTAAATCTAAGTGGAGGTAGGTAAATAACAAGACGGTTATAAAATCTCAATTGTAACTTGAGTGGGCCAGGTTTAATTATTGCCTGTTAATTCATGGTGCATGATTATCATCCTGCAATAAAATATCATTGTGAAACATTAAGAAGATTTACTCCTGTTCCTGACTACTCATTAGCTTGTGATTTTGCTTCCCCTTTGAACATAGTTGGGTTCCTTTTGTTTTCAATTTTTAATGTTATTGGTAAAGGTCAATGTACATAGATTTTAAACACTCTATTTTCAATTAGGATTCACATGGTTTCTTTTTAAAGGAACCTGTAGACTTTGTGAAATATACAGGCAAGCAATTTTGTACCCTCCCTACTGCAGTTCCCATGCTCCCAGGCAACATGACCATAGATCATAGGAGGACTAGTTCAAACCTTTGGAGAGCACTGAGTTATCACCTTCCCTCTTTGACTGAAGTCCCTTTCAGGGTAATGTAGGTTTGGTTTGACTGTTGTCCGGTTTGTGCCATCTTTTCTTCTTCTTTTTTTCATTATTACATTACAGGTAATCCTCAACTCATGACTGGTCGTTTTAACAATCATTTAAAGTTACAGTGGACCCTCCCCCCAGAGCTAATAAAAGAATAACAGAGTTGGAAGAGGCCTTGGAGGTCATCAAGTCCAACCCCCTGCTCAGGCAGGAAACCCTAAACCATTTCGGACAAATGGCTGTCCAGTCTCTTCTTAAAAACTTCCAGTGTTGGAGCATTCACCACTTCTGGAGGCAGGTTGTTCCACTGATTAATTGTTCTAACTGTCAGGAAATTTCTCCTTAGTTCTTAGTTGCTTCTCTCCTTGATTAGTTTTCATCCGTTGCTTCTTGTCCTGCCTTCAGATGATTTCGAGAATAGCTTGACTCCTTTTCTTTGTGGCAATCCCTGAGATATTGGAACATGTTTTAGCCTCCAGTCCCCTAATCATCTTTGTTGCTCTTCTCTGCACTCTTTCTAGAGTCTCAAATCTTTTTTAAATAGTGGTGACCAAAACTAGATGCACTGTTCCAAGTGTGGCCATACCAAGGCATTGTAAAGTGGTATTAACACTTCACGTGATCTTGATTCTATCTCTCTGTTAATGCAGCCTAGCACTGCGTTAGCAACTGCAGCACACTTACAGCCTGCTTCAGAGTTAGGATAACTGCACACACACTCACAGTCACATGACTGCCTCTGGGGTACTTGGCAATCAATTCACTTTTTATGGCATTTTGCAGTATCCTGGAACCACAATTTGCAATGTTCGGGTTTCCAGCAAAAAACACCCCTTTGGGAAATGGATTTCCCAATTTACTCTGATCTGGATGTTCTGAGTTTTCATTCTTTCCTTGCAATGCTGTGTGATGACGAGACGCTGATAGAGGAGGAACAGATTTAAGAAAGGCTGACTTGTAGTTGCCGACAGTTCATATTTGCTTCCTTTTATGCAAGCAGCATTTTTCCTTTTAAAATGGTACCTTTTTTTAACAAAATTTAAATTTTACAGAGCCCAATTGAGTCAATCCTCTCATCATGTATGCATAGGACGTGCATCACTTTAAAATTAGAGAAGACTTTGATTTGTCTATGACATTAATAATGTTATCATTTCACTGCACAAGGCACACATCTATTTTTAATGCAGTTCTAATTGGGATGCTTTTGGTTTCCTGCAGGCTCGAGCCTTGGAAATGAAGAGCAAATCATTCTCAAGGCAGCTGAACCATCTAAAGAAACACTTAAGGGGGCCAGTAGAACTTCACTGCAGGCTTCAAATAGTGCACCAGTTGCCCGCAGGAGTTTACTTCCAGCACCAAAGACAGGAACAGCACCAGCTGGTAAGTTTTTCCATGTGTCAGAGTTCATATGACATGTCCATATATGTTCTGTATGTGTGCATGTGCAATTAGTGCATTTTAGAATTTTGTAGTATAGTTTACTTCTAATTCAGAGTAGATTTACTTTACCTACAAAGCATCCAAATATGTTTTGAAATTTGTGCTCAAATGTGTTTTACACATTAAAATTAATTAGCTGGTTATTGCTATTTAATTAATTCAGTCTTTTTAAAAACATTCTTATCCTGGAGAATTCAACAATGGATATTCAACCCGAGCTTGCAAGGTATAAAAAAACAGGGATCCTCAATAGGTCTGTGCACTGAGCGCAGAACTTTACAGCAGTTTTGTAAGCATTTTTACTTGTAACTTTTACAAACTTCCCCAAAATCAAGAATCTTGATAAATCCCTGTTCACAAGTTATACTGGAAGCATTGAGCCAAACATATCTGCTATGAATGGAGTTCCTTACCAATTGGCAGCCCATCAGGCAGACTGTACAGGAGGCATCCCCAGTACATTTCTTGTGAGGGGAGATATTCTCAGCATGTACCCAAAGATGCCCATCCCTCTGCCAGAGATATAAAAACTCTGCTAATTGAAAGACCAAGAGCAGAACTCTGAAAAATCTGGAAAAGAGGCTAGTGAGGAAGCAGGGGCCACATGGGAGTTGGCTTCCATTTTCCCAACAACTTCTGAAGAAAGCTTGGAACCCCTTGAGAACCTGGAGAAATCCAAAAACTTTGAAGCAGAGGATAGCTCAATTTCCTTCAAGAAGTCTTCTATTTGAATAGAAATAAGTAAACTAGCTAACAAAGAATATTGTGCTTAGTTGGGATATGTATGCGATGCTAAATCAATTTTTTCTTATTTCTCTCTACAGACAGGGAACTATTTTTATTGGTATTTCAGACTGGGTTCCAGAAGCTGTTTTTCTCTGTAGCATGGGTGTCAAACTTGATTATGTCATGTAGCGTATTGTGACTTTTTTGCTTTTGCGGAGCAGGGGTGAGCATGGCCTGCACGTGACTCATCAGCCTGCGGGCCACCAATTTGACACCCCTGCTCTGTAAGATCTTCCTGTAATCAATAATATTAATGGGAAATTATTTCCTGATGTTACAGAGCAGATCAGCACCATCTTGTGGTGTGTTTGGAGCATTGAGTTTTCTTTGAGATCATTGTACTCAAGTTGCCAGCAGCTGTCTAGGGTTTTATTTTTCCCCCAGCATTGAATGCATTTTTAGCAATTGATGTTAAAATTATGTTATTTTGTTATTCTTTTTACATAAAATTGTATTTTATTTATCTCTGCTGAGGATGGAAGAAAGAGATGAATCATACTCTCAATATTTCTTGGCCAGGAGGTTACATTACTGAGATTATTCGCTTTTTTGGTAGAATTATTGCACAATCACCATAAAGGCCAAAGGCTGTGAAAATGCTGTGTTTCACACATACTGGGTTTAGGAAATGGGCACCAAGTAAGGATAAGTGGTAGCAGTAGAAACTACCGAGCCATTACCTTAAATCAGGAATAGACTCTGGGTTTGAATACCCAGAGACTTTTTAGCCCAGGGGTCTTCAAACCTGGCCCTTTTATGGCTTGTGGACTTCAACTCCCAGAATTCCACAGCCAGGCATGCTGGCTGAGGAATTCTGGGAATTGAAGTCCACAAGTCATAAAAGGGCCAAGTTTGAAGACCCCTGTTCTAACCTATTAGCTTTCCAGATCTATGAGCTCAGATGTCTGCTACAATATTATAAACCTTCAGATATTTGTTTCTAAATGCAAAGGTATCCCTTCATGACAGGGACAAGGTGAGAAAGGCTTGCATATATGCTGTTCATCCATCATCATTTTTGTCCAACATCCGTTTCTCATGTGCAGTCTGACTATCGTCATATAATTAGAGATCCATTCATTTGGGTAATTATATGGATATGTTAGTACTGTGCCTTCTTTTCAAATAAGATTGAGAAGTATAAAGGCAGAAATCTGCCCAGCTCTTTAAATTATCTGATGCTTCAGAAGAAGAGACAGTCATAAATATTTCCATCCATTCATCATCTGGTCTTCCTGTACCTGATTCATGCTCCTGCTATAACATATAAACCTCAAATAAATCATAGTAATAGGAAGCGCAAGTGAAGGCATCAGAGCTGGAATCATAGAAATATACCAAAATTGCCCTCTCTAATAGTGACTCCAGGTTTCAGTGGCCTCACAAATTGGTCGCTGGAGAGTACCCAAAGGATGGATGGCTTTTCATAATTGCTACAAACATGAATCCAGCCAGCTTAAGGTTGTGGGGTTAGATTGAATGGAGAGCCCATTTGGATAATTTGTGCTCCCAGAAAAAAGATAGTCAATAAATTAGTTCTTAAGGATTCCTGTTATCAGATTGGTTTCCGGGGCTCTACTTCCCAATGATTTTGTTGATGATATGTGGGTTTCAAGAAAGAGAAGAATACATAAGACAGCTTTATCCACAAATGCCATAAGGATTAGACATTCTGTAAGCTGATTTTAAAAAATTAAAACTGGTAAATCTTGTTTATAAGAAGCTCTCAGTGAAGAGTCATAACTGCTCAAAGGAAAGGATAACTCTTTAGTTATTTACTCTATAAATAATATATAAATCGGGTGTGAAAATCTTAATAGCTTTATACCTGACTAATAAAGCATGCCCTGATTTGAGTCACCCTTTCAGCCAATATATTTTTATTTTGTGGAAATGTTACAGAAAATCATTTGACATGTTCATGGTAATGCTATATAGTTTTTAATAGAATTTGCTTTTGAGGGGAAGTATGAATTGTAATCCACAGGGGAAAAATTCAGATATAAACATATATAGAGATTAGCCCTCTAACATATATGAGTACTTTGACTATTTCTACTTGATTTAGATAACTATTGGCAAGGAAATGACTTCACTGAAGTTTTGAATTGGAACTTAGCATCTGTATTCCTTTTTTCAAATGGATATCTGAAACTTCGTCTGAGTTGTATTTCTTTCCCACATCTTTAAAATAGAAACTGATGTTCATTCGTTTAATATTAGTTTCATTCAATTTGTACACGAAAAAAGTGGGAAACCATACTGAGGAACCATGAAAATGAAAGATCACTTCTACTTGGAGTGGGTGGTCCTGCATGTAAGGATAGATAATCCTCATTTACAGATTGCCTCATACAGCAATGGTTTGCAAGTTTTAATGGTGATGAAAAAGTAACTTTGTGACCAATACTTGCATTTACAACCTTTGCTGATCTGTAAGGCAAAGGTAAATTGAAGCAAGATCCTAAGCATAGTTGTGGTTTCTCTTAGCAGTTGCTTCAGTTAATGATCAAGTTGCGAGTCCCATTTGTAGTTGCTAAATGAGGACTGACTACCCATATTGTTCCATATTGTTACAGTCTATAAGGCTGGCATGTAGGGCAAGTATCACCTGGATTTCTAAAATGATCTTTATTGCCAGTAGGATAATGTAACATAACCTTGAAAATCTGCCAAAGTAATTATTTCACACAACTTACACCTAAAGTTATTAAGTCAAGTTTCTCAGAGGCTTTTTCTCATACTTTCCCCTTCTCCTCCTCTCCCATGGACTCAAAACCCTTTTTGTAATATCCCTGTTTCCTGCCTCCTTTATATTAGGCATTTCATCATATTTATGGATTCAGATTATGCTGTGAAATTCATTGGAAGTCAATGCGGGGTCTACAATATTGGTGTAATAAGCTGACAGCAATGCTAACAATGCTAACAAGCTGGTTGCCACTTTCTGCATCAATTCCAGTTTCTGAATGGTTTCAGAGGCAGATCCATATAAAGCTCATTTCATTAGTCCAGTCAAGGGCATGATTTACAATCAAAATTCTGCTATTCCAGATATGGCCACAGTTGGTAATTTTAAAATTGTGGACTGATTAGCTGCTAATACTGAATGCATCTTTGTGGGTTCTAAAAGAAAACAGTCTGAATTTTTTTTCTATAAAAGTTAGACTATTACACTTTACATGTCTTTACATGTAAAGTGTAAAGTGTTTACATGTCTTTACATGTAAAGTGTTTACATGTCTTTACATGTAAAGTCTTTACACGTCTTTACACTTTACATAGTCTAAAAGTTAGACTGTTACACTTTACATGGAGCCACCCCTGAAGACCATTTGGAAACTCCAAGTGGTGCAGAATGTGGCTTGAAGGGTAGTAAATGGTGCCAGATAAACAGCACACATAACACCACTCCTTCATGAGCTGCACTGATTATGGGTACTATATGTTTCTATTGCAATTCACAATGCTGGTGGTTACTTTTAAAGCCCTACATGGCTTGTGAGCGAGGTACCTGAGAGATCGCCTTTTTCAAAGAGTCTCTATCCATCCAACCAAGCCAAGCAGAATGGGCATGCTGCAGATCCTGTCAGCCAAAGAATGTGGGCTGGCAGGGACCAGAAAACAAGCTTATTCTGCTCTATGGGACATCCTTTCTTCAGAAATCAGGATGACCCCAACCCAGTTAGCCTTTCATAAGGAAGGCCCTGAAAACTTGGCTATGTTCCCAAGCCTGGGGCTCTGAATGTGCCATGGATTTCATTTCCTGGCTGTATTGCTAACTGACTCCTATGTACAGTATATTTAATTTGGATATTTTTTAGTGTTTTTATTGGTTTTACTGCTTTTATTGTTTTAAAATGTTTTTAATCTTTTCAGTTGTAATACCTTTTTTAAGCAGCCCAGAGTCACCGACTGAGATGGGCGGCCACAGAAATTGAACAAATAAATACATATTTTCACAGCATGTAATTCTTACTAGGTAGCTATTTGTATGTGCAGATCAACCCCGACTGCTCTTTAGAAGGCCAGATCCTGAAGTTGAAACTCAAGTACTTTGGCCACCTAATGAGAAGGAAGGATTCCCTGGAGAAGAGCCTAATGCTAGGAAAGACTGAGGGCAATAGAAGAAGGAGACGACAGAGAATGAGATG